TAAATGTGCAAGGGAAATAACTTCAGTTTCTTCCTTACCATTCTCCACGACTTTTCCTCTGTTTCCCCCTCCTTTGACACCCCGGTTTAGGGCCCAGAGCCTGCAACATCTGCTGTGCAATACCCAGGGCATGCTAGAAAACCTGTGCCCAACAATCTTACTATGCTATATCGCTATGAAATATCCATAGTTCCTGCTCCTTCCACTGTTAGCCACCATGATCCTACCGCTCCCCTGGTCTCCTGACCACGCAAAGACTCACCACATTACCACTTGCTTAGAATGGGGTGGGTTACCATGCCACAATTTCTGTGATTTAGTTCTATTTGCTCTCACAATGGAAGTGAGGCTTCTTTTCACCCCCAAATATGTAAAAAGATCAATAGGAAGCAAAGTTCAAAATCTCAGAAGCATTAAAGCATATAATTTTTACTGAAATTAATGACAGTAAAGTACTGTCCTGGGTTCAGCAGTAGCAGTCATGTTTCTCCTCCTTGGTAGCTGGTGCAGTGCAGTGTTTTGACTTTCGGCCTGGGAACAGAGCTGATAGCGATGTTTTGGTTTGGCCAAGGACTTTGTGAGCCTCATGCTCTGCCAGGGAGGAGGGGAGGCCAGGAGGAAGCAGAGACAGGACACCTGACCCAAACTGACCAAAGAGGTATTCCATACCACAGCACGTCATGCCCAGGAGGTAACTGGGAGTTAGCCGGAAGGGCTGGGAGACTGCAGGGTTGGAGACTGGTCAGAGCTTGGTCGGGCTGAGGGGGGCGAGTTATCGGTCGGCTGGTGGTGAGATGATGTATTCTCTTCCCTTGTTATTTCCTTTATCATCATTATCATTGGTGGTAGCAGTAGTGATTTGTGTTATACCTTATTTACTAAACTGTTCTTATCTCAACCCGTGGGAGTTGCATTCTTTTCGATTCTCCTCTCCGTCCCTCCGAGAGCAGGGGGAGGGCAAGAAAAGGGGGGGAAGTGAGCGAACAAATTACCTGACTGGGTTTAAACCAGGACAAGTACTTATACAGGCCTCAGGGCCAGATAGACCAGAATTTCAGTGGGAAATCAAGTCCCTAAATGTGTCTTTAATGCCTAAAGACCCTAACCCCTCATTTGTCAGAAGTTCAAAACAGCAAATATAGAGCTTTTTGAAACACTGTTCAGTTGTTTCAAAATGGATTCCTGAGATTTACATCTCTGGAATTAATAGCATGTTAAGGAAAAATATTATGTGAGAGTTCATAGGGACCAATGTTTGCAATATGTTTAATCCTGTTGCCTCCATAGAAAGGACAAAGAAAAAAGGTACTCTTCCTACAAAACTAATCCACAGATTTCCTTTGAGGTGGAAGTGAGCTGTTCTGCTCTGTGCAATGTGAGCTATTCTGTTAAGAAGCACAGATATAAAATAGTCATGCATATCACATGAACAGACTCATGACCATCTTTTTTGCTATTAGCCAAAACCAAGCTGTGTCCATTACATTTGCACCCAAACTTGGAGCCATATGACCCAAAATGCCACAAAGTATTGGATGCAGAGCAGAATAAGGGGGTTGGCAATCACTAGCTCTGGGGTTATACAGTACCAGGGATGGGGAAGATGGGTTGTTACAAGCAGAACTCACAAACCTGCACTTCAGAGTTTCCTTCGTCACCTACTGAACAGAATTTTTCTGTTTGCTTAAATATAGCCTTGACTGAAATGGTGCTGTCAATTTTGGGTAAGCAAAACACTCTAGGGGTCTAAAGGAGGGCAGAAACTATAGCCAGTTTAGAGCATAAATCTCTCCAGCTGCAGGAAATATTATCAGCATTAATCATTTAATCATGGTGGAGCGTAGAAAGTGGTCACCCTGAGTTTGCCTGAATGCATGTATGAAGCAAGCTTATTTTACATGAAATCTTCTTACAAGCACAGTAATTGTATCCTGTACATATTAATTCTTTAAGAGCTTCTCTCAACTCCTTTTCCTTTAGCTCCCCAGCTAAAATGCTGAGATAACTGTCCATGTTTCCTACTTGTCTGGCACTGTCAGAGGAAGCAGGGAGTGATTTAATAACTTAAGGCTACAGAAATGTTGTTTTCAGCCAAAACAACAATCAAATCCCAAAGTTCTCTGAGGTTGATTCATGATATTTACAAAACTGTGGTTCTCTGACCTCTGCCTATCACTGCAATCATAAATAACTGGCTGTTTCCTTCATCCATGCTCCTTATTCATCCTCAAATTGTACGTTCTAAGATACACAGACCATCTTTTCATTGTAAACAATTAACACTGAAAGACTTTGTATGAACTGGTAGGTGCTTTTCTAATACACATAATGAATATTCAGAACAACAACAGCAAGCTGAAACTGAAATACCCCTTCTATGCCCCTCCTGCAAGTAAATATCACCTTATTATGGTTTGAGTTATACTAGCACATGGGCAAACCAGAGACACAGCGATCATACAATTACATTCCGATGTTCTGCTCTGTGCCCTTCTGTTTACAAACAGTATTAAGTACATTGTAAACGTGATGCTTGGAATTTAACACCTAATCTAACCACCATCTTACCAACTTTGAATGTGACATGCTTAAGTTTAATGCAGACAAAAATGAGTACTGTAAGAAAAGCATAATCTCAAAATATGTTATGCCCTAGTGTTGAAGGAGGCATCTTACTTAAAGGCAAAAATCCATGTAACTGCATGGTATCATTATATTCAAATGGAAAAAAATCATGTTTAGTATAAGCAATCATAAAAATCTTAAGGAAATTTCTCATTGTGACCAGTTTTGCTCACAACTGGATATAGCTATCTTTACAACTCAAGGGTCAGAAAGAGAGATTTCTCTCTCAACAGAAGAAAGTTTAAGATCTCTAAATCTTTTATGGGAATTTATAAAAAGTAATAATCAATTTTTAATACTTTTTTTTTTAGTAAGCCAAATTACACAGAAAAGGAGAATGCAAAAGCCTTTCAACAACTGAAAATTACTGTCAGCACTAGTTTTAAAGTCGAGCTACTGGCAGACATCCATATCTAACAAAAGCAACTTTCCCAACACTCCCCACCAAGAACTTTCCCTCCCACAATATCCCCAAGTGCTTAAAAAGTAGCCGTGGCAATTCTTAAGCATGTTGTGCAGCTAAAATATAAGACACCAGTTAATGAACTATGTGCCCCTAGATCTGAATGGGAAAGTATGCCACATATGCTTAGATAACATCAGAAATAGAAAAGTCATGGGAAAGGAACTTAGAAACTACATTAGCCTCAGAAATCTAAGATGAAGATCTTACCCAGACCTCTAAGGGCTCAGATCTTTGAGGCCTTTCACATGACTGAATTTCATCATTCACAGTGTTCAGGGGTAGTTCAGCCTGTGAGTGCTTACTTAGTACGTGGCTTGTCTTTTTATTCAGGCCTATTTCACCTTGCTGAAAATGCTGGTATTCTGTACTACATATTGTTTGGGGATGTGGGGAAAGGTGGTAGAGGTTAGGATACTTCTGATCTACATAATCTCAAAGGAAGTGAATTATGTCAGCAGCTGAACTTCTGTACTCGCTTCTACCAAGTCCTGTGGTTTTGATAATTCCAAGGCAGAATTTCAAGACAAGAGGTTTTGCAATGCACTTTCATCTGGGTTTTCCCTTCGGCTTACCAGAGCCCACATCCCAACCTCGAGATCATGTAGCTGGGCTTGTGTGAACTCAAAGGCTATTTCTTGAGGGAAGGAACAAATATATTGTAGAGGGGATGGGAAACTTTAAATACAGAGTTAGGGAGAGGAAAAACCCCACTGCTCCATCTGCTCTGCAAAGACTTTACCTATACTAAGGACATTAAGTGAACATATTTTGTTAAGAAAACAAAAAATTATTGTACTTACAAAGGATTTATGCTTAAGAAGGTAATCTTTTAATTACTTACTAGGTACTAGCATTTCATGGAATCTTAGAATCATTTAGATTGGAAAAGACCTTTAAGCTTTTGAGTACATTTGATACACAATACATATCAATAATACTACTCTTTGTCTATATATCCCAAATTATGTTGAAAGATCCCCAAATTTTAAACATTAAAAACATGCCCCTAAATTCAGCATTGATGTATAACAGGTCAGCTCTTGAATGAGCTCTTGTATGAATATAAGGGGAGGCTGGGAGGACAATGAACAGATGCGAAAATTTCACAGTAATAAGAAAAATACGCATTTCAGAGTTGAATCCCTAAATGAAAATCCACTTTCTATTTTAACAATGCAAGAACTCTCCATATAATCTGCCTTTTTCATCTAGTCCAAATGTGTAAGTCTAGGATTAAAATTACATTTTAAAATATATTGTATATCTATTTCAAAGAGCACCCAGGCAAACCTGCATCTCTTCATGCATTATTTTTTTCCTGTGTTGATCTTGCAGGATATGAGTCTATAGGGTTGAAGTCAGAGGAACTTTCATTATTGGCTCCACTGGCAGTAGGTTAAGACCCAAAACTCATAATCTGTCTGCAACTGTATCTTATCTGCATCTCTTCTTTGTGCCAAGGATCTGAATACAAATGGTAACTTCATACGAAAGGTGCTTTCCTATCCTTCAAATAGTAAATCTTGGCAAAGAACTGTTAGCCCTGGGATAAAGCAATCCTTTACTCTGACTTTGCTGTTCTGCAAATTAATTTACTACATTTCTAGCCTTTACAGATAAAATATGCAAATTTCCAGCTCCTTACAAACAGGATTACCTCACCTTCATTCCCTCGATTAAATAACAAATAAATGGCACAATAAGGAATTATTTGTAGGGATGTCAGTTTATTTGCATATACTTTGATATTCTCATTGTAGAACCTGTACCTTAGGTTAACCAATCAGGTTCTCTTTTCATTATAGTTTAAATACTTACTTTATCTTTCTTTTCTGATATATAATGCAAGGAAACACATAAAAGAAGGCCTAAAACACATAAAAGAAGGCCATAAAAGAAGATTAATAGCTGTTAATCAAGCCAGGCCAAAAAAACAAAGGCTAAGTTTACAGCTGAGAGGCTTTGCAGGTATAGAGATTCTGGTATATTATTGTGGTAAAAAGTGGGGTGCAGATACAGTTTATACAAGCAGATAAACACTTTTGCCACTACAGTTTATTCTGAGAGTTGGTTGATTTTGCTGTCCCAGGTCAAATATATTGGAGTAGCTAAGCACAGTTTTACAGGTGGAACTCCATCTACTCTTGGCAATGTTAATAGCACAGCTACTCTGGTCACATATCATGACTCATCACATTCTTCCTGGCAAAAGTCTGTACTCCAGCTATAGAACTGCTGCCAAGCAATTATATGCGGTTTGTGACAAAGAGAAAAGAAACCACCCAAAAGTTAACAGTAAATTCTTAAAGAAATATCAAAATGAAGATGAAAACATCTGAAAGTAGGATGAAATACCACTCCTTTCATTGCACAAAACCCCTGACCTTTGCTACACAGTTCTTGTGGATGTTCTAATTTATGCCTTGGATTGTTCTTGATCAAAAGTCAGCACATTAATATGGCCAAATTATGGCAAATGCTATGTAAACATCAACCTCATTCAAACAGAATCTTTCCAGTAGCATTGTGTAGGAATGCTTCAATCTTATCCCAGCACCAGATAAACATCAAATCCTATTTACTCTTCAGTCTCCTACTACAACATGGAAGGATGCAATTCATACTCCTTGTGATTGTGAAAGACCAGGCTATTCCTGAAATCTTATGGCAGTGAAAACAGAATAAACTGAGTTTTACTGGAGTGGAACTGGAGCAAAATACAGGTGATCTTCAAATAGTGACAAGCAAACCTTAAGCCTTGTACTTTCCTACTATTAGACTGTACGTACTTCAGGAACTGAAGATAAAAGATTTTAACTTACACAATGGGAAAGTAAACTACACATTTTATCAATTATTAGGATGTTTAAATAGCAGGAACAAGAACTCCCAAAGGCATTGCAAACAACATAAACATGCAAGTCATCTACCATTGTGCTCCAGCCTACAGGACACACAAAGAAAACTTTTGTATATGGAACATGATTTCAGAATCTCATGAGACCAGAAAGCTCTCAGTGCTTCAGAAAGAGATTAAATACTACCTCTACTGGTCTCTTTTGTCTGAAAATCACTTTCTATGAAATTCAACCCTGCACAAAGAGCCGGAATCAGGATTAAGGATCTCATAAACCCCATTTAATTCCCTAAAAAGGCTTCTGTGCAGAAATGAATTCCAGTCTCTGAGAAAAGTTGTACTATTAATGAAAGTATGAAAAAAAGGTATTTAGAATTAGTTTGAAAACTCTATGCTCTGGACTAAAAACTTTTTAATTAAAAAAAAAATCTAAATGGAGATGTATGTTCTTTAAAATACACATTAAAATAGAATATTAAATATTTTCTTCTAAGAAATTGAAACTATTAAGGACAATTCCTCTGTTGCAACTGGCTACAGAGTAATAGCAAGAAATGACAAGGATCATGTCAAAGTCAGCCAGCAGCTGCCAGGGCTTTTGAGCAGGCTTGCCATTTTCAAGGATTCTGCCTAAAATTAGGGAAATGGTCTTCCATTGATGAGGAATAGGAGGCAGAGAAATGCAAGAAAATGAGTCTCCAATAATATTCTCTTCACATACCCTGTAGGAAGTTGAATTCAACAAAGAGAGAAAGAATGAGAGAAAGAACAAAAGAATGAAAGAAAGGAAGATGATCCTGTATTCAATTTCTACACTCCAGGCATAGTCTTAATTTGGGGCCTCCCTATGTGTCCTAGCAGCTCTTTCTGGTGATAAAACAGTTATTGTCTGGTTAATTTATGTCTCTATTTAATGCATGACATAAATAGACTGACCAGTGTGATTGGTGAAAGGACAGGGAGTCCCTACTGATATAAACTGGTGAACAGTAAAAAGAACAGTCCCCTTTTAAGGACCTGAAACGATGAAATTCTTCATGCTGGCTGCAAATGCATTTCAAATGCATTAGAGCTCATTGTTGTGGGTTCCCTTGGCTAAACCTCTTGTTGTCAAACTCAGAGGTGGCTTGCCATTCCGGCTCTAACAACCTGTTGAGCTATTCTTATCTATCAGTCAGCAAGAGCCACATCAGTTGCTGTGCCAGTTCCAGACAGGCCTAACCTCTTTGTGAGTTTGGGTGCATTCCTCTTTAAAAAGGATTTTTTTTTGTTGGTGGTGTAAATTCCAGCATTATTATTTGGGCATGAGCCAGCCTAATGCTAGTATGCCTGGGAGTCACAGAGGGCTTGCAAATGCTACACTGCTGCAGGAAACAGTCCCTGGGAAATGTGGGCTCTGAGCTTCCCATTGCTTACCTTTGGGAAAGGAGAATACCCCAAGCAGGAAGCGCCTGTTTTATTGGAAGGGATGTCTATATAATCCTGTACATCACTGAACCCCAAAAGAGCTCAAGCCTCAGAGAAACTGCAATATGGACATAGCAATAGTCAGACAACTAACAAATTGGTTGGAAAGCAGCATAGCAAATACTCAGTGAAAGCAGCTAGCAACAGAAGTGGCTAGTAGGGGCTGCTACTTATAGTAAATTCAAGTTTCCAATACACTAATTCCTCTATTATTTAAAATCATAGGGAACCAGAATAGCCCAATAAAATAGAAAGCTTGGTACTAGGGAGACGCTGTAGCCATTACATGGCACAGTGATTCCACAAACCCAGTAAAAAGGCTATGGTATACATGAAAATCACCGGCATTTATTTGTGATGTAACAGATGAGTTTGCTTAATGTGTAGGGAACATTTTGAGAAATAGGAGCTTTGAGGAGAATCGGCCTGTTTGGAAAACTTCTGTCTATTGACTGAAAATCCGCTTCTGAAACCTGAGGACACAACATGCCTTCACACTTCACACACTGCAGGCTCCTCTGGGACTGGGACTCACCCAAAAAGTTACCAGAAAAATCAAGACAAGACCTTTCAGTGTTGCGCATAAGAAAAGCATCTCAGCTGTCCCTCAGAAGCCCGTATTCATAAGTGGAAATCTTCCTGTCATTTAAGTAAAAAAAACAAAAAAAAACAAAAACCCGTATTTATTATTTTATTTATCTTCTTCAGTCACATACAATATTCTCCCTGCAACTACCTCATTCCCGTCTCCTGCCCTAGACAGCTACAAGGTTTTCTTCACGCCTTTTATCACTAGGTGGCGACGTTGGAAGCAAGAAACGGGATGAAGACCAGGGACAGAGAAACACCCGAAACGTTAACTTCCACCACAGCTTGGAGGAAACATTAAATCCTGGGCAAACTCTGATCCGCTTATTTATCTGAAAATTCACGTACTGACTTTAAATTTAAAGCAATTAAAAGCAATCTCAGACCAGGGGTATAACTCCCTTAATGCAATATAATCCTTTATTATAACCATTGTAATCCTTGCAATATAAACATTTTGGTGGGAATTCAACCCACCATAACACCTGGCCACACCTCTTCACCATGTGAAATCCATTGCATTGCTATGCAAATAAAGTGGGAAAGAGCTGTGCTTCACTTACAGATATTTCCTTTCCTTGTGGTTTTGTTACCACCTATTTTTAAAGAAATACATGGAAATGCTTACAAGATCTTGTTAAAACAGTACAAAAATGTTAGTAGAATGAGTTCCAAGGTAGCAGCAGTTTTCTGCCATTCACCAAGCAAAGCAGAGCAAATTTAAGACACGAATCTTGTTATTAAAATTCATCTGTACGAGTATTAGCTCTGAACAGAATCCAGCATCCTATTCCATAAACATTTCAAGCAGAAAACCAACAGAAACTCATTATTGTAAATCTTAATTGTTTCCTGCATATACTCATCCACAAAATGTCTTGTTCTTTGAGCAGTGAAAGTACTGCAACTTACTTCCTTATGAATTTATTGTTGAGGGATATTAGTTATTCAGCTTAAATAGCTTTTAAATTGTTTGAGTCAGAGTTATAGTATTTTGTGGTTTAGTATGCTATTTGCTTAGCTTTACTTGTTTAGCATGAGCAGCTAGATTTGCTGCAGCCTCAGGCTGTAAGCTGTGGTCTTTCACCTAGATATGCTTTCAGCTGGAATAAAGTTAGTTTTCTTAGTAATTTTCCTGTTAGCTGGTACAGTGCTGTCTTTTGTCTTTAGTGTGACAAGAATGATAACACACTGATGGTTTAGCTGTTAAGTTTATGTTCGTCTGAGGTCTAGGACTTTTTTAGTGTGCACAAGAAGCACAAACCAGAAAGAGCTCCTACTGTCAGCAGAAGCTGCAACTCAACAAGGTAAGACAGCCTGTCTCTATGAACACAGAGAAAGAATCCAATAAGGTGTTAGAAGACCCCAGACCAAAAAAATCACTATTGGACTAAAAAGACATGTGAGGGGTGGGTGCATAAATCATAAGGGCATAACTGCCCAGGGATTTCTTTCTTTGTGTTGTCCTTGTTCCCTCCCCCCCGCCCCCTCCCCCGAGGCAGAGGGACCTGTCCCTTTTGCTGCATCACTGTTATTAAGCAGTTTTTTCCTGGAATCGAACAATTGAGACTCTGCAGTAGGAAACATGGGGTTGAGCCTGAAGAAGGAGGATGTGTGCTTGTGAGTGTGAGTGCGTGAGTGAGTGAGTGAGTGTGTGAGTGAGTGAGTGAGTGAGTGAGTGAGTGAGTGAGTGAGTGAAGAGTTGAAAGGGGCACCCATCAGCTCTGTGGAGCTGCCCGCTGCAAAGGGACTCCAGTTCTAGCAACTAAGTCTTGGGTGCTGCGTGAATGCTCAGGCAGCAGCTTCTCCCCTAATATTATTGTACTCTCTACCCTCCAAGCTCCTCTGCTGCAACACTCCCACTTTCCCCCGTGACTAAGACAATATCAAGGCCATCCTGAATCAAGCTCCCCATTCCCTCACCTCCATTTCTGGGGGTCTCCACATGAGGGCCAGCCCCAGCTGAGAACAGCACACGTGTTCAGCAATTCAGTGCATGCTGCAAAGCTGCTGTTAGCAGAAAAAATAGCCCCGTGCTGAAGGGCAGGTGTCTCCTTGAGGACCAGCACTTGAAGGACCTCTCTGTGTCACCCAGCCTCTGATTTTCCATGCTATATTGCATGAACCACAGAGAACCAAGGCCCTCAGCATGCTCCTGCTTCTGGTTGAGGCCCAGTGAGGAGCTGCTGGTACCATACCCAAAATGTGCTTTACAGACACCAAAGTAAGAGGTGTTTTCTTCTAAGAGGCCCACAGAGGCAGCTGGCAGGGGCTCTCCCAGGCAGGGACACTGCTGGAATTCCTGCTCCAGATGCGCCCAGCCAGACACCCCCACCACATCCCGCAGTTACAGTTGCCACAACCCACTTTCTTGTCACCCATCATTTGGGGTTGAGCACAATAAATCTAGCAGGTTTGTCCCCATCAAAGAGGTGAGATTCAGGTTGGATGTGAGGAAGAAATTCTTTACAATGAGGGTGGTAAAACACTGGCACAGGCTGTCTGGAGAGGTGGTGGAGATGCCATCCATCCCTGGAGACATTCAAGGCCAGGCGGGATGTGGCAGTCCCAGCTCATTGCCGGGGGGTTGCACTAGATGACTTCCAGCACAAACTATTCCATGGTTCTGTGGTAGCCCTAAAGAAGCCGCTTTAGCAGGGTAAGCCTCAGGCCAGGCCAGACACCAGAGGTGTTCACCCACGATTTGAGGGGGCCTACACCGATTTTACTCAAGAACGCATCTAGGGCGAGCACAAGGACGCTCACAACGAAAGTTCCACACCCGAATACTGCCGGAAGGGCGGAGAGCGAAGCGTGCTTCCTCATACGGCAGGATTAGGACTCGAACCCGGAACTCCGGCTCTCCAGCACTGCCCGGCACCCCCCGCACACCACATGACGCGCCTCCCGCCAGCACTTCCGTAAACATCACGACTGCTGAGTGGCAGAGGCGGTGGCCAATCGCGGCGCGCGGAAAGGGGGTGGGTCGGAGTCTCGCCTCAGCGGCTGCGGCAGCGGAGCGCGGGAACGCTAACGGTAAAAGTAACGGGCGCTGAGGGACGGCGGCAGGTCTGTGTGCGCCGGGGCGGCTGGGGCGGGAGGAGCTCAGCTCGCCTGGGGCCAGCACTCTTTGTGCTGTCGCTTCGCCTCAGGGAGCCTCTGGGCATAGCGGCGGGGGCGGGAGAATCGGGCCTTACAGCTTGCGTGGGGAGGTCCCTTACAGATGAGGACGCTCCCCTGTGGGGCCTGGTGAGGTGGGCTTGAAGGAGCGGGGTACGGCTCAGGGGCAGGGAATCCCTCTGCCTCAGGTGTAGGCTTCCTGCCCGTGTTGAGCGGATGATGGGGCCTGTAGCTGCACTCCATGCCTGATTTTTACCGTTCATCCACGCTGGGTGTGGGTAGTTCTGCTCTTCATCTTCCTTTTGAGTAAGGCATGTCGTCTACAGAAGTTACTGTGCATGCTTAGTTTGGGTTGGTGCTGATTTCTGAGTGTGTCTGTTAATGATAGTAAGTCATAAGTATATGTGGCAAAATACATATGCCCTTTTACTTTTTTTTTCTTTCTCTTTTTAATGGCATAATGTAGTAAGTGTTCTGTTTTACTTGTGTATGTTTAAGTGTGTTGTTACAGCCTTCCAATGGAGATAAAAGTAGTCAGAAGGTATGAAACAAGAAATAAAACAGCAGCAACAGAACTGTCATCATCCAAATCCCGAGTTGATTGGAGACGCACTAAGAGGGAGCTCATACTACTTGACAGTAATGATGAATCCTCGGGTACCTCTGAGGAGGAAGAGCCTAGTACATCAGAAGATGAAGTAGATGACAAAGATGAAACTGCTGTGAAGAACAGCCTTTCAGGTCACAAAGAGAAAAGTCACAATGGGGAAGTAACAGACAGTAGTGAGGATGAGGAGTGCATTGTGCCTGGAAAGCGCAAAAGGTTGAACTCATCTGTCTTGTATGACAGTGATGAAAGTGAGGACAGTGATATACTTGTTAGAAAAGTTTTTGCCAAGCGCCACTGTATAATAGATGAAGATGAGAATTCCAGAGAACTACAACCTGATAAAAACTGCTCTACAGAAAATGGTTCTACTAATAAGAAAGTGTTTGCAAAATTGAAACAGCTTGCAAGACAAAGAACAACCTGGAGATCTGGCAGAAGTGAAAATTGTGAGGTCTGGATTTTACCTTTGAAATTCAGTTAGAGAAAATATTGAATGTAAGGGAAGACAAATCATAGAATAGGGTATAAAATGGATATAAAATCAAGTTGATATAAATCAGTAGGATTTTAGTTATTTTGAGGTTTTTTTTTATTTCTGACAAATCAGTAGTTCTGTCACATTTTAACAGTTGTCACATTAACAAGAAAACAATATTGACTGCTGAAAACCTTTCTTTGGTTTAATTTTAATCACTGAAGAGTTAAGAATTTCATTTGCTCTTTCAGGCATTCTGATGACTAAGCAGCTTAGAATGCAGGTATCTTCTCTACGTAGTCAGAAACGAAACACTTCTGTATCATGAAAAGGACTCTCCTCTTTAACGTGAAAGGACCATCAAGTTATTTTTATCAAGAAGCAAAATACCGGCTGAAGTAACTTAGAGAGCTCATGTTAGCTTAATTCGTACAAATAGCCTAAAGAGGGGTACATGGAGATGGCCAAGTAATTGTCCTCTAGCACGGAATGATGTATTTTCTGGAAGCAGTATTTCTGTTAATTGAACGAAAGGTGCAATTAGAAGGGCAGAAATCTTATCCAGTATATGTAGTATTTTGTCACTGCAAATACTGAAAATTCTTGTGTTTGAAATACTTTTTTAAATTTCCTTAGGACTCTAGTAGTGAAGCAGAAATGGAGGAGGAGCCGTTCTCTCACTTGCCCCTCACGCCCACAGAAGGTAGTGAAACTGACTGCAACAGCTTGAAAGATTTTATAGTAGAGGAAGAAGAAGATGATGATGATGATGACACAAAGCATGTAATGGGTGAAAACGAGCCACAACACAAGGAACTGAATGGATCAAATAGTTTGCTGGCAAACTATGTCCCAAACTGTAAGATCAAAACTAGTGACAATTCTGTATGTACAGCTTGCTTGTAGTGATGTAATAAATACTAATGGAGTGAAAATAATTATAACATAGGCTAGCATAGTTTAAAAGCAGATCCCTAAAAGGCTTGAATTTGTTGTGGAAGTACTCTGATTTCCACAGTAAACTTTTACAGTCTTTCTGTATCTTATTAAAGGGAGGGTATGATTTGGAGCGAAGAAAAGGAAACCCTATTGCAGTTTTTTTAAGTTGATCTAATTTAGGATGAAATAGGCTACCTATGAAGCAGTCATTCCTGTGGAGGCCTAAAAGTGTCCTCCATCTTAAGATATATGCTGAGAGCAGCTGTGTTAATTCTGGCCATATTCTGTTCTGGAGATTGATGTAAAATTCTTGCCATGGTTTTGGGGACTTGGGATTTTTATTAATTTCTTTTTTTAATGTATTTTCATTTGATGGCTGTTGAGATGGAGGAGCACAAGTCTCTGGGGGGTAGTGTTCTGAATTTAGGAGACGTTTTCAGCCAAACTGCAGAGAGTGAGATAAATGTTTCAAGTTGTTCTTTTGTAAAAACTGGTATCTAGATGGAGCAGAGGGATCCGAAACACAACTTTATGCTAGTCATCTTCTTGTGTATCTTGTTATTCAGAAGCAAGTATGTACTGACAGAACAGTCAGCACTGGTGTGGATGGTCACAGCCGTATTATTTTGTCCCCAGTAAAGACCTGAGCAGAATATTTGTATTTGAAAGAAAATTAGAAAACAGAAAAATGAACAAAAAAAAAAAAAGCAATAAGCCTGGCCTTCTCTGGTTTGCATTATTTCCTGCTATTCATAGAATTACTTTCTTCTTTTAGTGCTTGTAGCTCTTCTTGCTGAAAGGATGTGTAACTTAAAAATGCTAAAATTCATTAAGATTTTTGGGATGAGAAGCACTGTGTAAAAACAAGGTCTTAAAGATGTGGATGTTGTATATTGAAATGAGTTTTAAAGCCAGTTTTAAGTGACTTTAAAATTCTAAATTTGTGATAATGGAAGAAAGGAATTCTTCTTAAAAGACTTTTAACATTGCTTACTTCTTCTTTTCTCTTTTGGTAAACTCTGGTTATATTGCCTTCTTCCCAGTATCTCGCTGTGATCATTATGTACACTTCAAAAGAATAGTAAAGGCTTTCCTCATAAATGCAATTGATGACACTTTTCTGAGCTCATTATATGGTAAGTAAATCACATTAAATAATACAATAGTGCATTCAAAGTTATATAAAGACATTTATTCTAGGGAAAGATGTGTCTCCTGATTATAGCACTGTGAGTCCTGAGATCTGGTTTTGGTTTTGCTGCTCTCTGACTTGGGGGCAGCGGGAAATCTTTCTGAAAAGGGATAGAGTAATTGTGGAAAAATGTGTAGACTTAATTCCTTTAAGCCTAGGAGGCATTCTGATATATAGGGAAGTGTTTCTGTCTTACTGATCAGCAGTAACAGTTCTAGCATGAAAGCAAAATTAGTTTAGAAGTAGATATCTCAAGGAAAACATTGCGAGATCAGCTGATCTGTCATAATTTCACACGCTTCATAGCTTTTTTTGAGGAATTTAATAGCTAATAAATAATTTTATTTATGGAGATTATTCCATATCTGATTTTTTTTTTTATTATTATTCTTTTCTTTAAACATTCATGCTTTCAGATAAATTTCAGTGGCAGTCAGTTCTGGCCTTGTTCTTGCTGAGGAAATGCTTTTTGGCACTTGGCCTAGTGGTGTTGAATGGCAACCTCACACGTAGTTTCAGAAGCACTGTAAAGATGGGATTAATGGGAGAGGATTATCAGCATCAGGTTGTGGAAGGAGTCAGCAGAGTGCCAAAGAGAGGAAGTTTTGGTGTCATCAGGAGCTAGAGAGAGCAGAGAAACTGAAGTATACCAGAGACTTCAGAATAAAGGCTCTGTATTCCTGAAGCTAAAAATGTCTTTCATCTACCACTGCTAGTTCTTTCACGTGTTAGTTCCGTTTTGTTTTACCAAGTAAAAACAAGCTTATGGAAAGTAATAAGTAAACTTTGCCAAACTGATGTTGTAATAGCTTCTTTCTATTTCAAATTGTATCTGCTCTATAAAGCTAACAACTTATTGCCAAGATGCTGCAAGTAGAGCAGTGTGTGGGTGAGTTGGAAGTTGTATTCTGAAGGTTGTATGTCTTTCTGAGGAACATGGTATAGTATGAACGCAACCCAGCATTACAAAGATGTATTTTATAACACAGAGTGGATTTTTTGAGTTAATGGAAGTGAATATCTGACAGAGTTTGAATCAAGTGCAGGCTTGTTTTTTTATTGCGAAGGATTTCTTTATGGTCTGTCACAGCCTCTTCAAGCTCTTAGCGTAGCTGACTTACTGAAAATGTGTAAAGTGTATATGGAAAAACAATTGTAATTATGGTGTCTATAATGACAGCTGGTCTTATATAAAAAGCTAGATAGCCAGTAGTCCATCTTGGTCGTGTTTCCTTTGATAACAGCATTGCTAAAAGACACAGGAAAGTAACTGAATTAACTTGCATGTCTGTACGTGCTGAAGCTCAAGATAAGTATGAATTAGCCTAGACCTATGAAAGTCCGGTTTAATTCCTAGAGTCCAGCACATTTGGGAGACAGTTGTGGAATAGTGGTGGGTTTACCCATCCTCACACTCATTTATTTCTTTTGTTTAGTAAATATTTAGAAGTACTTATGCTGATTAACTCAAGGCATCTGCCTGTGCTGATGTAATGTAAAGGCCGGTTCCGGCATGCTCTTTCTTAGTGATGAAGAGAGTTCTCAGAATTTCTTCTGTGAAGCAGCTCAGAGGTGTTTGTTTTCGTGGATTGCAATCTCTTCCCTTATACATTATGAACGCTTACATAAACTGGACAAAAAGCAGGACACTCATTTTCCCTCCCCACTTTTCCATTCTTATAAATAGGATTGAGTGAATGGCTCTCCATTTGGGATGCCAGCTTTTCACTGTAATATTGATTGTAGAGTTTACTCATGTACCTCTTGTGACACAGACTTTTAAAATAATTAAATATGTCATTTTATCAAAGCTGCATGGATCACTTTTATGGATAACAGTAGCAAATGTATTCAGGGATAATCTAATAAAATAATTCCTAGTTCTTAGCAAGCAGAAGCATAACATCCTTGAAAATTTCATTTGAAGAAACTTGTACAACATAGAGTTGGCAGCAAATTAATAACAACTCTCAATTAACAGATGGAACAAGACATAAGAAGTATGCACAGGATATGTTGCTCTCACTTCATTATTTGGATGACCGCTTCATTCAGCCTCGTCTTGAGAACTTAGTCTCTGGAAGTCGTTGGAAAGATCGATACAAGGTATGCAGCTTCTACTTTCAAGAGAGACGTGGTCTCCAAGTCATACTATTACTGATGGGGTGGGGTGGGGGGGTGTTATACTGTAATTCTCTGTAAAGATACAATAAGTGCTCTGTGTGTGTGTGTATATATGTACTCATTTTTAATAGAAAGTCATTCTTTAACTTATGTAACTTGTTTTGATGCTTCTGTTATTTATTCTGATTATTTTGATATTTATATCAGAAGTATTTTATATGTTTATAACCTGATAAGCATTCAGGTAACAGAACAGAATCTCTTCTCAATTACCTGAATGCTGCTTCTGCTAATTCAGCAGATGACTTTCTGAGATTTTTTTGTTACCTGCTAAATGTTATAACAAAATTTCTTCTTCCCCTCACAAAAAAGATAAACCAGTATGTTCATAATGAACCTTCTACTGCTTAAAAAACCCTGAAGTGAATATAAAGTACCCCAGTCATTGCATACAAATTGCTGAAATAGTATTAGGGTAACCTTTGTCACTGTAATAAGTGTGGCCAGTGGAGAGATACAGTGTATTTATTTGAAGCAGACCAACTGATACAGTTGCACACCCACCCCCTCCAAAAAAAGAAAGGAGGTAAGATTAAAGTAAGTGCAAGGATGCAGAATCCATTCCTTAGGTCTGAAGCTAAAAGAAAGTATTAATGAACTAGAACTGAGTGGAGTTTTGGAAAATGATTGAGGAGGTACATGTTCACAACTTAATGGTGAAAGACTTCAAATTTTTAATCTCCTTGCTTTCACTTACACTAATCTTGTGTGAGTACAGAGTACTCAGCAGCCGAATTCAGGCGTCTTTCAGTTCAAGAGGATTCTTTAATGTTATTTGAAATCTGTTTTTCAGGAACGTGTGGATTGTTACCCGAATGTTCGCATAACCTTGAAAAGCCCAAAATACATGTCTTGTCATGCCTGTGAATTGAATCGTTATTGTAAGTTTAATGTGCTGCTCTCTGGAAAGCTTTACAATAGCAGAACACTGGAAACGGATGACTTCATGTCAGATGACAAACAGGTAACTTCAAACAAGCATCCTGTATTATTATTGTTAAGCTTTGTCTCATGTTACAGAAAATCATACAAAGAATAGAAATCTTATCAATACATCTAATGTCTGTAGTGCTGGAGACAGGAGTTAAGCCACTGCACTTCCATGTCTAAACCCTATTAATTTTTTTAACTATTATGACCATTTTGCAGTCTAGAGAAGTATATTCCTGGATTTAACTAGGAATTATGAAGGAAGTTGCTACGGAACTTGAGAGGGTGGATAAAGGCGTACGCCTCTCCCCCAACCTCTCTTATATGGTGGGAAGGCACTAATGAAAGGTATCCTTGAATAAACCTAACTCTTACAAAGAAGATAAATGTGATGAGTTTCTGTGACCTTTGTTTTTGCCTGCATCACAGTAATAGACATGCTATTTCCTTCCCACTTTTGCCACTTAATATTAGCACCTGATGCAGCACATGTACTTGCATTATGGTAAGTGCTAGCAAGTATACCCAGTTGTGAGCTGGACTTCATGATCAAAAAGACGTACGATAGGGTTTATTGATATCTCTCACCCTCAAGTCAAAAACTGACATTTGCCTCAATTTTTTCTCTGCTTCAAATTTCTCAATTTCTAATCTCAAATCTAGTCTGAGTGTTATCCAGGCCAAGGAAACTAGGTACCTGCCATCCTGCACATCCTACTCAGCATGCTTGTCTTTTGCGGCACATGGGGAGGCAGTCTGAAACCGTGTGTCAAAGAGGCTGAAAGCATGCATGAAGTTTCACATACTAACCAGAGCGCTGATAGAGCACCCAGTCAGTTATTACTAAGTAGCTTTTTGTTTGGCCAGAGAACATTTAATAGAAGACTCAAAATCCTAAAGTGAATGCAGATCTTAAAGAAAGGAAGACCAGAAGAAATTATACAACCGTGATGCTCTGAACATGCCTGGAATACCAGGTTTCACCCAGGAAAAATACTGCAACTTTTTTTTTATCTTGAATAGATCTGATGCCTGAATCTGGGATTTTAAATCAAGAATGACATTTGCCTCAGATTGACCTATATTTTAAATATCAGAATGCCTTTTCACTGCAATAGGATCATTTGAAAGCCCTTTACCTTTGTGTAATGCCTGTAAGACTTTCCCAGCAGGAATCTTGCATTGATTATCTTTCAGAAATATTATAAAATTAACTTTCTGTATGACAGTCATCTCCATTGAATGATTGTGTTTTCTGTTTTGTTGCACGTGAGGTTTGTTCTGCATTGGGTCACTAGATTTGCTAATTCTGTGCCTGCTGTGCCTGTAGCATTTGGAGCACCCATGTGCGCTCCAGTAGTTCTTGTTTGCTGTAGGTCAGAGCACTGAGTGAATAGAGCACTGTCATTCTCATAGTCCAGTTGCACCTTAGTCAGAATTTATGGCTTCGTGGTTTGGATTTTTTCACATCCACTCTTTACCATGTATCTCTTCACTCAGGACAAAGTATCTTGACATCTCAGTTGCATTTACACTTGAAATTCACAGAATAATTAGGGTTGGAAGGGACCTCTGGAGATCATCTAATCCAACCCCGTGCCAAGGCAGGGCCACCTAGAGCAGGTTACACAGAAAAGTGTCCAGGCGGGTTTGAATGTCTCCAGAGAGGGAGACTCCACGACCCTCCTGGGCAGAATTACTGATCTCCTTTTGAGAAGACTTGTTCCTAACTACTTCAGTATGTTTTATTAGAGCCTTTTTCTTATTACTGCATTATCAGAATTACTTGTCCAAACTAGAAGGTACATTTTTGTCACTCAGTTGTCTCTACTAAGGCATTTTGGATTAAATTTTGTTCTGGGAATGAAACACACCTTTTCTGTTGTTACATAATGGGTGTTCCTAATATTTAGGGATCTTCCCTTCAAATTTACAGCTACCAGTAATTGTTACGATTAAGTATGCATATGATCTTCTTACAATGTAATTCATGACCTTACGATAACTCAAAGCACACAATTTGTCAAGAATAAAATATTGCTAGTTGTGTACCAAGCTGATACCCAAGTTTTGAGAAGCTTTAGAAGATATATTTCTTTTCTTTGTGAGTGTAAATAATTTTTGAATACAGCTCAAGTTCCTCACAGTATTTGCTAAAATAAATGTCAGAACAAGTTATATTTTGAAATGTTGTATAATAGGATTTCTTATATACAAATGAAGTGAATCCCGCATCAAATTGGAAGTACACCTTGCTGAAGCTCATGCCTGTCTTGTTTAGATCTTTGCAAATATTCTAACTTAAGAGATCTGTGGGGTGCCAGTGTGCTTTTCACAATATCGTCATACTGGGCTCTGTGTGTAATGCAGAATCTGGGAAAATCTGTGCTCCCATTTTTCTTAAATAGATGACAAATCCTTCTGAGCAGCAGTTGTTCATACTCTGCTTTAGTTCGTCTTGTGCATGGTAGTTAAGAGAGTTAGGCTTTTCCAGCAAGGCTTTTCCCCACAATTACTGCAGAAAAACAGTAAGTCTTTGGCACATATACTAGCACTGATAACTGCATTCCATTGTACAGTCATTATTCCTTACATATGAGTCTCTAAACTTAGATTAGGTTTTCATGGGGAGGTGCGTGCCTTACCTAACCAGAAATAACAAGTGAACTAGCACAAGAATTTAATCTTAAGTGTGGAAATAACAGTAGAAATTCCGTCTCTGCTGTCCAAATGTTGTCCTACATAAAGCAGTAAGTATTTTTCACTTTGGAAAAAAAATTGAAATATCCTACTGAATATTGAACTAACTTCCTAGTTCATTTTTGTCCTCTTCAGCTTAACAGTGGAAAATGAGAGCTTTTTCTTACCCTGCATACCCCAGCATCTGGTAAGATGCCTGTCAATATAGATCAGGGGCTGTACAACAGATCCAGGAGATGAAGTTACTGAGCACTTTCCAGTAACTTTCTATTGTGCCTTTGTAATGCAACATTCATGTTCTTATGATGACCTGTAATTTAGACTGCTAAAATCACTGTTCTTAAGTAGTGTTTGAAGTTCTGCTGGCAACACATTGATCAACTCATCCTGCCAACTGAGAAAAAAAGGAGGAAATAAAGAGAAAAGGCACAGAGCTATATGAAACTGGCATTTCAGGAACTTAATTGACTGAAAGAGGAGGCAGTTCAGCACTGGCAGGTCAAGTTGAATGGAAGCACGTAGTTGGACTGTTTTCTAAAGTTTTGTTTGAAAATACCCAAGAAAAGTGGATGCAGAGAGAACAAAAAACAGACGTCCAGCCCTCCTCTTCTGCATAAAACTTTCCTTTTCTCTCATCTCTCAAGTATTCTGTTTTGCCAATAGAAAGAGAAGAGAAACAGCTGTTCCAGTTTTGCTTAGGCTTGCAGTGATTGTTGTGTGTGGCTGCCAATTCTCATTCCTCCATGGTCAGGAAGAATTCAATTGTTTAGAGGTATATGTGTCCCCCACACCTCTTTGTTCCTGTGTCACCTGGATTGTAAACCTTTTTCTACTCTTAGTCTTGGTGTTCTGTTTCTGTTTGTAATCATGCTTAGAGGACATGGATTCAGTCATTACATGTTGTGCTGTTGTCAGGCTGTGCTCCTGCATTCCATACAAAGTGATTTAACACAACTTTGGCTGATATGGCCAGCTTGAGGAGATAAGTTAAGCATTAGGACACAGTCACTGAGAGGAAAAAATTAGCATGAGTACAGTACTGAGATTCTTTCCAAAGCTACATTCAGAAATAGCATTGTATTTTTAGACAGTCTTTCTTGCTTTAAAAACACAATACAATTACATTATACAATATTTAGCTATTTGGCTCTGGCATTTCTCCAAGGTGGAAATACTTTACACCTCATGCATAAATGAACTATAAAATTCCTTGCCATAAGATGCTTTGGAATCAAAAAGTGTTAGTGAGTCCCAAAAGGAATTAGACAGGTTCTTGGAGAAGCTTTTTCCACACTTACGGAACTTGATAGTTGGGATGATACAGACTGGCTTAACTGTTGACTCTTAGAAGCTGTATGGTAATGTTGTGATTGATCTGGTGTTCATCCTGCATCTTATAGTAACTTCCTAAATATCTCCTGTTAGCTGTTGTTGCAGGGGAAGTACTGGGCCATCTGCTGAATGCAAGATGGTATCTTCTATTTTACATCACGTAATGTTCAAGATGCTGCACCTCATGTTTGGGATACTTGAAAAGTTATGAAATGCCCTATGAAACACCACAGCTCAGTTCTTGTTTGTTTCAGTATTTGGAATGGTGTTACTGGAAATCTGAGTGAATCAAGGTTATGTATTGGTTGGTAGGTCTTGCACTTTTGGAAGCACCTGTAGCACCAAACACAGCTTTTCAGTTTTGGGCAGAGTAGAAAATGGAGCTGTACCTAAGTACATGCACATAAGCAGTAGAGGTTTTCAATATAGTGATGGGATTTTTTATTCAGAGCAGCCCTGCGGAGAGGAACTTGGCGGTGTTGGTTGATGAGAAAATGAATATGAGCCAGCAGTGTGCTCTTGCAGCCCAGAAAGCCAGCCATATGATGGGCTGCATCAAAAGGAGCGTGACCAGCAGGTCGAAGGAGATGATCCTACCCCTCTACTCTGCTCTCGTGAGACCTCACTTGGAGTATTGTGTGCAGTTCTGGTGTCCTCAACATAAAAAGGACACGGAACTGTTGGAACAAGTCCAGAGAAGGGCCACGAGGATGATCAGGGGACTGGAGCACCTCCTGTATGAAGACAGGCTGAGGAAGTTGGGGCTGTTCAGCCTGGAGAAGAGAAGGCTGCGTGGAGACCTCATAGCAGCTTTCCAGTATCTGAAGGGGGCCTATAGGGATGCTGGAGAGGAACTCTTCATTAGGGACTGTAGTGACAGGACAAGGGGTAATGGGTTAAAACTTAAACAGGGGAAGTTTAGGTTGGATATAAGGAGGAAATTCTTTCCTGTGAGGGTGGTGAGGCACTGGAATGTGTTGCCCAGGGAGGTTGTGAATGCTCCATCCGTGGCAGTGTTCAAGACCAGGTTGGACGAGGCCTTGGGTGATATGATTTAGCGTAAGGTGTCCCTGCCCATGGCAGGGGGATTGGAACTGGATGATCTTAAGGTCCTTTCCAGCCCTCACGATTCTATGATTCTATGACTCTAAAACATGTGATCTAGATCACGTTAAACCACTGGTTCTTTGTTCTAGAAAGAAGCACCTCCTATATGAAGACGGGCTGAGAAAGTGGGGGCTGTTCAGCCTGGAGAAGAGAAGGCTGCGTGGAGACCTCATAGCAGCCTTCCAGTATCTGAAGGGGGCCTATAGGGATGCTGGGGAGGGACTCTTCACTAGGGACTCTAGTGATAGGAGAAGGGTTAAAACTTAAACGGGGAAGCTCCATCCCTGGTAGTGTTCAAGGCCAGGTTGGACAGAGCCTTGGGTGACATGGTTTAGTGTGAGGTGTCCCTGCCTATGGCAGGGGGGTTGGAACTTGATGATCTTAAGGTCCTTTCCAACCCTAACTATTCTATGATTCTATGATCTCAAGATGGTTAATATTCCAGTTAATAACCATCTGCTGAAGATCAGATCAAAAGGTCTTTTAAGTGAGTGTGACTTAACTTCAGTGATGTTATGCCTGCTTATATCAGTTGAGCTGCTGGTTGATGTATTTAAGAAACGAAGCATATTCATATATTTAAGAACATATATAACACCGATAAATATCAATGTAGCTTATAAAATCATTATAATTATGCTTTTCTGTTGCTGTCATTGTCAATAGGTCTAGATACCAAGTAGATTGGGTGTTTTGGGGAACTGCTCACAGATGCAAACTTTTGATCATGGACCCTTTTTTTCTCAGTAAAACTACATCAGTTTCTCCTGTGTGTATCAGGAGCTGATTTTCTTTACACATGTATTAATCATGTTGCTTTTGAGTGTAGAAAACCTAACCTCTGAAAACCAGCCAAAGGTAGATTTCTTACCTGATAGGCTTTGTCTCCATGGGTAGGAGTAGTAATCAGTGCACCTGTGGTCATTCACAGGGAACAGATTTCCTCTTCTGATTTGCCATTGTATGTACTCGAACTCCTGCTCTTGTAGAAATGGAACATAATTCACTCTTGTGAAATGCAGAATATCTGTCCTTAAGTGCAGATGAACTTTTATTCTTTCTCCCTCCCCACACCTCCAATTTCACCCACTCTTTGTGAAGATTTAGGATGGCCAAAGATTCTTGTAACCAATTAGTATATTGCCCAGTATTTTCAGGTATTTCTTACTTCTTAACATCTTTGAATAACATCTGAGCTCAAGATACGTGCAAACACTTGCCTGTATTTAATGTTAGTGCTGAGAGATGATAATGAATCTACTCTAATCCATGCTCTGATTATGTATTTACATGCATATTTACCACTTGTTTATCTATAAAGATTGCTGTAAGAAAAACTATTAAATGAGACAGTTGTGTCTTTTCTGCATAGATATTGTACAAGTAAAACTGGTGATAAGTAGGAGATGCAGCAGAGGCTTTGACTTCTACAGTGTTATGGCTAGCTATACCTCCCAGGCAGTTGCAGGTTAACATTTGCATTGTATAAAACCTCAGTTTTCAGATTTTAATTTTATGAAAGACAATCTTTCTATATATTTATTAAATACATGTTTCTAGGTGTGTGTCTATTTGCATTCATATGTATTTCTTGAAAAAATATTGAATACTATGACACTACAAAATGCTAAAACTGGTATTTCATGTCTCGGGGAAGTAGCACATACTGAGCAAAAGTAATCAAATAATTTCTCTTCCTCTGCTTTCACAACATGGTGGTTGCCTAAATTGTTAATGATTTTGTAATGAAGTGCCACCAGGAGATAGGAGAGATACTACCAACTATGAACATGTTGTGTGTGCAAGAAAACGGTACCGATAAGCTGCCATTGCACAGACTCGCTGGCTGCCTGCTTGCTCAGAAATTATTCTGCTGTGGCTGTAAAAACTACATGGAGTTTACGCTGATTTTATGTGTGTGGTGTCATTCTGTTTATTTCATTATTCAAAGCATTTTCCTAGACTGGCATAAAATCTTACTGGACTGACTTAGCCATTCTTTATATTGTCAAGAAAATCACAGTTCTATCGCAGAGTGATTTGTTCGCTTTGGCCTAGGTTTTGGAAGTTGGCATGGTGTGTGCAGATCGGACAAGAGTTTACCATAATTTGAAGCACTTCAAATACAAGTTGTACCTGCATTGTAGCTCCATTACCGAGTTAGATGGTTTTGAAGATGAACCAGTCAAAGACACAGTAGAACGTCTTTCCAGCCAGCTGGAAGACAGTGGGTGGATTCAGAAGGTACAACTGAGTTCTTTGATGTATCCTTTTCCAAGTAGATAAAAGCAAGCTGAGATAAAATGTCTGATTTAATTGATCAGTTCTGAATTACAGGGTTTCAGTAATACAACTCAGCTTAACCATTCATCCACTTCTGCTGACCCTATCTCTCTCACAGTGGTATGTTGCTGCGCTCACGCAGAGTTTGTGTCAGCTTGTGACATGAAGCTTTCTGACAGCTGCATGATCTCTGGGCTGTGGTGGGCAGGCTCCCATTTCATGTGGCAGCAGCAACACCACAAACTCAAGCTGTAACTTAGAAGCACTGGGAACGCATACATGAGGCACAGCAAGACTAATTTATTCTTCTGTTTAGGCTGAAGTACTTTGAATTATTCAGAAACACTTTATGAACTATTTTAAGACAACATGTAGTGCAATTGTATTTAGCAGGTTTTCAGATATCATTACATCTGAATTGTTGGCATGCTTGTTAATGTATTGAAGTACAAGAAGAAGCAGTCTTTATGTAATTCACTTATGAAACATTGATAAAATAATAAGTTTTTATTTTATTTGCAGAGATACAGTGATCTTGAAGACTGTATGAATGCTGCAGACAATTTCCAAGAAGAGAGAATAGATTAAGTGGTCACATCACATTTTGAAAGACATCTATAAAAAAATTGAATGACCTGCATTATGTGTGCACTTTATCTCTGCTTGGTCTTCAAGATTCTTTCTAGGCTGTTACGTTTAAATCCATATGCCTTCAACCGACTGTTTGAGAATTTGCTCTATTTTTTGTCTTATTTGCATCAATAATAACCCAAAGTTATATCAAATCAGTCCCTCCAGCCTTACTGCATAGGTCACTATAGGCTTCCTTCTGTTCTTAAAAATAACATCTCAATATCTGTTTATTTGTGAAATGTCCACCTGTTTATATTGAGCTGCATCTTAGGGAAGGTAGGAGATCATAGAATCATGGAATAGTTAGGGTTGGAAAGGACCTTAGGGTTATCAAGTTCCAACCACCCTGCCATCAGCAGGGACACCTCACACTAAACCATGTCACCCAAGGCTCTGTCCAACCTGGATTTGAACACTGCCAGGGATGGAGCATTCGCAACTTCCCTGGGCAACCCATTCCAGTGCCTCACCACCCTCACAGTAAAGAGCTTCTTTCTTAAATCCAGTCTAAACTTCCCCTGTTTAAATGTTAACCCGTTACCCCTTGTTCCATCACTACAGTCCCTAATGAAGAGTCCCTTCAGATACTGGAAGGCTGCTATGAGGTCTCCACGCAGCCTTCTCTTCTCCAGGCTGAACAGCCCCCACTTTCTCAGCCTGTCTTCATACAGGAGGTGCTCCAGTCCCCTGATCATCCTCTTGTCCCTCCTCTGGACTTGTTCCAACAGTTCCATGTCCTTTTTATGTTGAGGACCCCAGAACTGTACACAATACTCCAAGTGAGGTCACTCCAGCACCCTGCACCCTGGTAAGCCCTTTCAGATATTGGAGATGCTGAGATCTTTTGAAGAAGGTGCATTTGGAAATGGAAGGCTGCATTATGCGAGAACGTATGGCTTGCATCTACCTTCCTTGTTGCTCGTTATCTGCAAGTAAGTCCAACCACTTAGAATGGTAGTTATAATAAACAGGACCCAAATGCAAAGATCTGTTTCCCCTCTGAGGAGTCAGTATAGACTGTTGCAAGGCAACAGAGGAAATATGCTGCAGTCCCAACTCTGTTTGCAGCACAGCAGTCATCCTCTCTTTAGAGAGTAGGTGATGAGTCACATTATAGGCGTCAAACAGACTGAGTCTGGCTTAGCCTCTAAACGAACACTTGGGCCCACGTTGCTGCCTCTGATAAGCAGCTGGGGCAATTTACTGAGATTTTAAACATCAAATTACATTGTGCAAACTTAATGGCAACAACTTGCAGTAACTAAAAAAGAGAATGAATTAATGTGGCCATGCAAGATAAGAATTTTTCCAGGATAGCTTAGCAGAAAATAGGAGTTACTCAGAAATATGATGCATGGCTTAACTGGATCACATGAAGCCCAAATCAGACTTTTTGGGGGCCAGGGGAGTAGATTTTTGAGGATTTGGGAAAGGTCAAGTACTGTATTGTCCGATTTAAAAGCTGGACGTTACCTGGCAGTGTGTACTTGCAGTCCAGAAAGCCAACTGGATCCTGGGCTGCATCCAAAGGAGTGTGGCCAACAGGTTGAGGGAGGTGATTCTCCCCCTCTACTCAGCTCTCATGAGACCCCACCTGCAGTCCTGTGATCAGCTCCAGGGCCTCCAGTATAAGAAGTGTTCTTTCAACAAACTACTCTCTCAGAAGCAAAGAAATTGAAACCTTATTTCTCATGGATTTGTCCAGAAGAAATCCCTGCATTTGCTCTGCCCCTCTACTGGTAACAGATACACTGATTTGCCAGGCAATGGTGAACATGTGCTGCATTTTACCATAGAAACTGTACCTTTGATTCATTGTTCAGTGCCCTTCTTCCAGCATTCACTGTAAGAAATGAACTGCTCTTATATTTTAGCAGTTCAAATGCAGCAATGGTTTGTGCTATTAGTGTGAGCAGGTATCATCAGTTCTCCCTTGCCCCCATACAGATACAAGATTTATAAAACTGAGATAAAAAATCCCAGTAAACAGATTCGAGGCCTACTCTTAAATAAACTTATGTTGCAGAAATTATTTCCATACCTGAACTGCAAGATATGTAAATATTCTGAGATTTGATATATCTTATACCTATCTCCCTGGTTACCAAAGCAAGCACTCAGGAATCCATCTCAAATATATCCCTTTTAAGAAAGGTAATGTCCCTTGATGCCCCACTTCCTTCTGTTAACAGAACATCTGTACACTTTTGTTGACTTCTTTAGAATAATAAAATAAGATTCATGTTTGGTGTAATTTCGTTCTTACCAAGGAACAGTGTTCTGAACTAACTGAGGTTTGTACCACAAAATGGAGTATGTCCCCTCAGAGCCTTCCTGACTGATCTTAATTTCTGCTGCCTTTGGAATTTTCTGGAAACTCTCAAGACTGTACGATTTTTATGATTTTTATTTAAAATCTTTGCTGTCAAAATGGTTAATTTCTCATTTTGCCACATTTGAACTGTTTGCTGATAAATCACAAAATAAGTTTATGAAATTTTGCTTGCTGATTACTGATGCTATTTCAAGACTACATACATTGTGATCAAAAAGAAAATTCCTAGATTGTTCCAGTGATTAGTTTTACTCATCTTTTGATACCTACCGCATCCCAGATCACGTTTATCACCTCCTCTTCATTAACCTAAAAGGTGTGAGCTCTTAACTTCTTGTTCCCACAGGCATTTTGTTCCAGATCTGGGTTTTTTTTTTAAGAGGGATATAAAAGTATGCTGCTGAGCTTCTTGGAAGAAAGCACCTCCATCAGTGTATAAATCTTGTCTGTGACATCACCAGTTGGACTAAGACCGTGCCTCAAATCAACATCACTGATTCCTATTTCATTAGGAAACCAATACTCGATTTGGCTTGGCAGGGGCTGACATAGTGTTTGTGCAGGTGTAGTCTTTCTTCATCTTTGATATTGCCCTCACTGAGTGTCATGGTTTAAGGAAGTATTTTATGGCTGTTGTTTTACCTGAAGAGTTTCTGCAAGACAGAGACTGAAGCATCATGACATCACATTTACATTTGTCTTCACCACAGGAAACAAAAAGATTGCTTAGAAGAACCATACATGTAAAACTGCAGATCCAGTTTTCCAGGACAGGCTGTAAATGGTGGTAATACAGCACACAGTGCAAAGGGGGCTATTACCCCTATAGAGTGTTTATATATAGAAGTACTCAGTATTTCTGGTAGAAAAAAAAAAATCTGTGTGGCATTCTAATGACAGAAGAAGTCAGAAATCTGACTGGTCTTTCATACTTCCTTTTCCACACTAGAGAATTTGATGGAGTTAGGGGGTGAGAGAACATAATGTTTGTTCTGCTAGGCCATTTTTAATTGTCTTTAGTGTTAATTTTTGAAGTAGTAGTTCTAATTAAGATAAAGTACCTGTCTTAATGGAACAATGAAGAGAGCTCAGTAGGTGATTAGGCTTGGCAGGGGTGATTAATGGTCATACTTGGAAATTACCTTTGTTCCTGCAATGTTTCGATAACCTGCTTTAGTTGAATTTCTGTAACCGGAGACTGCGGTTAAGATAAAGTTCACATGAGGTATTTACGCAGAGGATCAGGGTTACTAATGTGATATACTCCTGGGAGAGAAGGCTCTCCTCAGCCTATGTTCTGTATCCAGTTCTAGTAAAATAGGAAAAGTTTTCACTGTGTCTATCAGTTTGGGGAAAGAAAGTCTTTGTGGATCAATAGTAGATAGCTGTTACTGACAGTGAAGTCATTGCCTGTTTCCCAAAGCAGCGTTTCTAGCAGTTTGTCAGGCAATTGCAGGCAATTCCCATGCTTACCTCCTCTAGGTTGCTTTTATACAGGGAGACTTGTATTTTTATCCTTTTTAAGTCTGTCTGGATAAACAGAGTGGGTGTGTTAGATAAACGTATAAATACAATACCACTCCAGTGCACACAAAACAGGCTTTATAAAGTTGACTTTCTGATTCTCCTTTGAGAAAGAAGTAGTACCAATTCCTAATCTCTGTTTAGAGGTTATACAAAAAGAATGTAAGAAAGTATGATCTACCAGCCAGGGAATAATGTGAGAAACATGTGAAATGGTATTGAAAGAACCTGGTAATAACCCCTCAGTGACTACACTGCCCTCAATTTTGGTATTTTTCTAGGTAAAAAGTGATGGTATGGGGTCATTTGGGTTATTTTTCCCTGTTTATTAAATAGGATGTAGACAGTTTCTTTAGATTGCTCCAGGGATTATATTCTTAATTAAAAACGTGGTGTGGGTGTGTAAAACAAGCCATAAGATTACTTATTTCACAGTTTAAACAGAGCAATTGCATGTACCTTGTGCCCAAAACTTAAGGACAAGAAAGCTTACTCAGGTGTAGTCAGACAGTCAGGCTCTGCCTCAAAGTTAAACAGTTCACCAGGTGAGCTGCCAGGCACGTGAGCCTGCCTGGCTGGGAATACCCCAGGAAATACATGTACATGTAACTGCAGTTGCTCAAAACGGCCAAGAACCTTTGCTGAAAGGCAAATAATGGACGTAGCTGAAGCTGTAAAGGTCCGGTTTCCAAAATCCTCCATAGGACTGATTAAGTATGTACCATTCTGGTGGAACTGATACAACTTGGAAGCGATTCTAAACACAGATGAAGAGGTGTGTGCCTCAGTTGGAGCTCATACTCAAGTTTTTAAGCAACACTGGTTCATCACAGTCTCTGTTCCATTTTTGGGAAGTTATTAGCACAATGGGATGTCTACGGTGAGAATTCCTGGCTGTGAACCCAGCACAAGTGTGTTGCTGCTCTGGAAGAGACTGCCGATGAGGGGAACTCAGATCTTCTACAGCAACAGGGGATTCACACAGAAAAAATGCTCAAGCATGACAGCTTGTGTGAGGGTGCAATGTCATGTAAGTGGTCACAAATCAGTGAAGGAAAAAGTAATGAATTATTCAGGACCTGTTACATTAATGTTTTATCACATGTATTAGAAAGCCTACAATGTGAATTGCGAGTATTGTTACAATAATGTTAGGAACTGCGTTTAAGAAAACTGACAACAAGCCAATTCAAACGCGACACCGGTGTCCAGGGCTGGGGACATTCACCAGGGTCTCCTGGGCAAAACCTGAAGAGCTGAAAAGACGGATTTGGGGCGTTTCCTCCTCGGGAACACCAGGGGCAGCATTTGCTGCGTATTGAGCCACCGCCGGGACTTGCAGCGCTGCCCTGTAACCAGCTGCCTCTCGCCTGAAAGGGCCGTATCAAACCACACAGCAAATGAGAGGCTGCTTGGCAAAAAGCGCATCCTAAACCTCTGGAGTTAAAATACAAACATCTTCGTTTTGAAAGATCATTCTCTGAGCTCTCCAAATTCATGTCAGAAAGGGAGAACTCCCGCAGGTACCCTAGTACCTTCTGGAGCAGCACCACTGGTTTAATATTGAAACAGCCACTTTGAAGACCCCAGCCCAGATTTTGATTGAAACACCCTTCCTTCTTCTCCCTGAGATGTGTGTGTTACTGTTACACGTGTACTCTGTGACTGACCCTCCAAAACACAGCGCTGACATCTGAGCTGTAAAGAGCGAATAAAAGCCTAAGCGAGGCCTGAAGCAAAGGTTACATTGCCCATTATTTTACAATCATTAAAATTTCATTTTATTTTCCACCTGTGCCAACCCGTTGTTCTCAACAGATGCACAGTGCTGTTGTCTATCAAATAATAACCCACTCTTCCTCAGTTGCTCAAGGCTGGACAAAAAAATCCCCTTCTCCTTCCTCTGAAGGTAGCACATCCACAAACCTGGCTTCCCCACACCTCGTCCCACAGAGAAGAATCCAAGTCTTTGCTGGGGTAAATCTGAATGCGCTGGAGGCTCTGGCTGGTGCCAACAGAGCCAGATCCTGGAGACGAACATGGATGTTTGTTCCTGCCTGAAGGAGATTAGGGTCATGGAAGGGCTTTTGCACTTCCTATATATCCAGTGCTGCAGATCTTCTATGTATTTTGGGGGCAATCTCCAGGAATGTATTATTTCATCATTGGCATTCAAAGTATTTATGTGCATGACCTTGGAAAGGGATAGAGCCACCTGAGAGGGTTATCACTAGATCCTCCTCACTCACAACTTAATGCTCCTGGTATGATGGGATGAAATTTGTAGGTTTTTCTGACTGGCTCCCCACAGCAGCGCTAAATGAGATGATGCACCCTTATTTTAGGGACTCTTAACTCCTGAAAGGCTTTCCATAGGGGCTGTGTCTCTGCACGCTTGGGGGGGGGGGGGGAGCATTTTTCTTCCCAGGTAGATATTAGGGAATTCTGGAGATAAAGCCACGGCAGCACGACAGCGTCTTGCTTTTAATACAGCCGACCAACTCTGAGCTATTCCTGCCGCCTCCCTCGCAGCTCACCTCCAGCACCCCGCCGGCCACCCGTCGCAGCAAGGCCAGTTTCGGGGGCCCGGTCTCGCAGCAGCGGCCACCCCTGCTCTGCCCGGAGGGGTCGTTCAGGACAAGCGCACGGCCTGGGCTGTGCGGGCGCAGCTCCGGACCCGCTGTCCCCAGCTCCAGCGTCCCGGGGCCGTCCCGTGCGTGCGAGCGCCCGGGTAAAGACCGCTTGTTTTTCTACCGCCTGTTCCAGAGGAATCCAGCCGGTCGGGGAGCGCAGCGCCGCGACTGATTCGAGGGCTTGCTCCTTCGCACTCGCTCGCCCGAAGGTCTCGCCACCGGGAGGGAGGAGGGAGAGCGGGAGGCTGCGCTCCGCGGCGGCGGCTCAGCGCACCCAGGTACAGAGCGAGGAGGCGAAAGGGGATTTCCTTGGCTTCCTCCCATGCAAATACCTCCCGGAGAGCGGCGGCGGCAGCGGCCCGACTCCCCTCCGCGGCCGCTGGGAGGCTCCGCGCCTCGCCCCGGCCTCCCCGGCGGCCGCGCCGCCGGTGACACCCGCCCCCCGCCTCCGCGCACCGCGGACCCGCTCCGCGCCGCACCGCGCCGAGGGGCAGCCCGGGCAGGCGGCAGCGGGCGGCGGCAGCGGAGGCAGCGCCGATAGCGCACCGGCGAGCAGCCGCCCCAGCGGGTCGGGGATGGAACGTACAAAAACACAAAGGAAAAGTGGCCGGACGGTTCTGGGTGCAAAGTGCTGGAAGTTTGTAAGTGCAACTCTGCGTTTGTAATTACGGTCTGAAGAGGGGCTGGCTTTTTAGCTTGTTTTTTTTCCCCCCCTTTCTTGAAACTGTACTTGAAACTATTCAATATCTGGGAGTATAAGGGAAAGTACGCGAGAGGAGTTCTTTGCCTGGGTTCGTAGATTGTTGCTTTTATTACTAAGGGGGGAAATAAGCGCTGAAAACAGTACGGATTTTATCCAGTGGCTGGATTAACAGCAGGCGAAGCGTGGTCTGGAAGTCCACTGACTGACATTGTTCCGGAGCGGGGGATCCGTCTCTCTTATTTTTAGAGGAACTACAATTTAGCGGCAGACAGTTGGACACGGTGATAAACCGAAGAGTGGCTAGCAAAGAGCGGGCGAGAGAAACGAGAAAGCACAAAGACTAAACTAAGCCGAGCAGCCTCCACCTCCTTCTCCGGCTCTTTATTTGCATATTTACTAAAGACTTTAGGAAAAAAGAAATAAATAGAGAAAAAAGAACCCACCACCAACCCCACTCCACCAAATCGGGATTTTCGGGCCGCCGGGGGTTTCTCCGTGCCGCCGAGCACGCCCATGCCTTAAATTTCCACTTCAAGGAATAAGCCCCCCGCTCCCCCGAAATGAAATAAACCCAATAAACCTGCCAAGTCTCACTCATTCCCGAGGGAGATCTCCTTCGCACAGGGATTCATTTCGGAGGCAGCGGCTCGCTTTATCTTTTTTCCGCCCCCCTTCCCCCGGCGGATCCCCCCCGTACCCCGTTCCCCGGGCGTCCCCCGACCCCCTGTCCCCTGCCCGGCCGATGCTGGCCCGACCCTAACGATCCCCTCCCTTTGCCCCGTCCTCCCGCTCTCCCCGATCTGTCAGCCCCCCGCGGGGCCGTCACCGCCCGGGGGCCGGGTCGGGGTGGGCCGGGGGCGCGAGGCTGACCGCCCTCCGCCCCGCCGCCAGCCCCCGGCTCGGGCTCCCGCCGCTGCCCCCGCCTCTCCCCCCCCTCCTCCGCCTATCTCCATGCGGCAGTGAGCACCGACCCATCCGGAGGGCCAGGACCGGCAGGCAGCGATGGGCGACACGGCTCCCCCCCAGGCCGCGGGGCTGGGGGCCGGGCTGCTGGGGGGGGGCCCGGCGGCGCCCCGTGTGCACAGCGCCATCGTGGAGCGGCTGCGGGCCCGCATCGCCGTGTGCCGCCAGCACCACCTCAGCTGCGAGGGGCGCTACGAGCGGGGCCGCGCCGAGAGCTCCGACCGTGAGCGGGAGAGCACCTTGCAGCTCCTCCACCTCGTGCAGCAGGGGCAGGGCGCCCGCAAGGCCGGCAAGCACCACAAGGCGCCCGCCGCCGCCGCCGCAGGACCGGGCACCGCAGCGGCCGCCGCCGCCGCCGCCGCGCCGCCGGACTACCACCAGCACCTCCTCAGCAACGGCGGCATCAACGGCGAGCAGCCGGCGGGGGAGCAGCGCGCCTCGGCACTCCTGGCGGTGAGTCACAGCGCCCCCTGCCCGCGGGGAGGGGCTGCACGCGGGGCGACAGGGAGAACCCCCCCGGGATCCCCTCAGGGCACCCGGCCCCGCAGCCATCCCTCCGGTGAGGCGCGAAGGTGGGGCCGGCTCCGAGGCCTGTCCCCACCCGAGGGCGGTCCTGGAGGGCTGTCCGTGTCCGCCCGGCTCGGCCCGCTGTGCTTCATGCCCCCTGTGTTGGGTCCTGCGAGGCGGTGGGCCCCGCTGTGGCACGGAGGGTGTGAAGAGCAGAGGGCAGGTCTGCGCGGCCCGGGGCAGGGCAGCTGAGGCACGTGTCTTCCCTCAAAGCCATTCTGGGACTTCTGGGCTTGGTTTTTCGTCTTTGAAGCAGTTTGTGGTCCTAAAAACGTGTTGTGTGCCCCTGTCATTACCCTGTGAGGCGGTGACAGCAGGCGTCCCCGAGGAGGGGCACTGGCGGTAAGCTCATAGTGCATCCCCAAGCAGGGGTGAGAAGTAGTGCTACTGCTTCGTTCGTGCTAAGATTTGCCCCCCCTGCCCCATATTATCCCATCCAGTAGCAGCTTCAGACAGTGATTTCCACTCTAGGCAACAGTTTGTTGCTGCCTCCCTCAGCCTTGGCTGGTTTATATGCATGAGGCAGATGGGCAGCGCTGAGAAGCAAGAGCCAGTGTCCGGTTGTGCCCAGCCGGTGGTTGCAGGCAGCTCACAGTGACATCCCCCTGAGCTGGCACCTCCAGAAAGGGCTGGGTTGTTGTTACCACCGTGCGGGTTCCACCGAGCAGCGTTACATGAGTTTTCCAGGTACCGCCGCGTTGTAAATGGCAGGTTGGACCTTGTTCAACTGGAAATCACTCTGAACATACCAAGGAGGCGAAGCTTTGTCTCCTGTTACTTTGTTACGAGCAGTCCGCGTACCTTGCTTTTGAAAGCGTGTGCTGCGCGGTGCTGCCGTCCAACCCCTAATTCTCGGCACACATGTGAAATATTAAGAGTGACTGCGTCCTGATAGGCCCGTGCCTGCTATTGGAACGGCTGAAAATAGATCTCTCCCTCCGCTCCAGACTTCAAACTTATCCTTCTCAGTGCCTGACGTATGCTAAAACGGGACCTTTGTGGTTGTTTCTCCCTTCTTCCCTGGGAGCTCGCTGCGGTGCGTGGATCGACGCTGGGGGCTGCGTTGCTCAGCATCATTCGTGAGAGTGATGATGTAAGCGTGAACGCGATAACATTGTGTCCAAAGGGAGCTTAGGCGATTCGACCTGACTCAGTGCTCAGATTAAATCTCCCCACGTTCCTTGTCACAATCAAGAAAGCCATTATCTTATTTTTCCAGCGTGTATTGATGAAATGCATTGCACTTGTCATGTGGGGAGAAAAAGGCCTTTTGCCTAATAATGTATGTCCCAGAAAAAATCCACTTTCTGAAATCAGGGAACAGGCCGATGTGTTTTGTTTTGGTTTGGGTTTTTTATTTCACTTGTTTTGCTAGTTGTTACTATTATCATGAGATAGCTGGAGGCAGCTGTTTGACAGTGCTAAATGAAACAGCTCCAAAGGAAATACTGGAAGATTTTCATCTTTGAAATTCAGAGAAGTTGTCCTTGTTTCTGGAATACCACTTGTGATTGTTACCCAGCTCTCTGCTGGACAGTGCCACGTAGGACCCTCACCCCTCATTGCAAGATGATAACTCCATGCAATGCCTGCCTTTGACAAGAGAAAGGTCTGACAAAGTCTCCCCCAGTTTTGCATGCTAGTGTTCAGTAATCCTGCTGACAAGGTACGTGACTTCACTGAGCATGACGTTTGAGGCCCTGAACCATGTTTTGACACTGAAGAAATCCTGGCTCATGAAGCAGTATTGTTGTAATGGTATCACTGCACATCACTGATCCTCCCACTCTGTGCTTGACACAGCCATTCCTCATTTGCTGCTCTGGTAGGACTGCCTAATTAAGCAGCAGAGAAAAGCATGGGTTCGAAGTCACGTCTCTGTGTCACAGAGGCACATGTTCCCATCACCGAGAGCTCCTTAGAATATTGTTGTGAATACTGAAAAGGAAAAGCAAATCACAGTGTCTGGGATGAGTTCAAGGGGCAAAGGGTCATACCCCAGGTAGTGCAGCACTCTGCTCCTGTACTTGAAAATGCAGAGGGCGGGGACAAGCCAGGAAATTGCCAGGTTTTGGTTTTGCTCCAGCCATAGCTGAAGGAGAAATTTGCTCTACCAGTTATTCCAAGGGTGCTTGAACAAGAGGAAGGACAAGGCAGACTGAGCCTGTTGTCCTGTGTGTTATAAATAGGTGGAGAAGAGAACCATCTTAAGCAGAATTCATCTGCTGTGGGGTGTTTCCCCAGAGGAAATCCAGTAGAAGCTTTATATGCACTGTTCCTCTAATTCTAGACTTTTGTGTACAACAGACAGCAGGTCTGGGGTGTGCAGGGTCCTGGAACAAGGTGCACCTCTAAGCTTCAGTTATGGCAAGTGCAGCTTCAGCATAGGGAAGCACAAGAGGAGTGTTTGTGAGTCTCACACTGAGCATGGGAGGTTGGACACACATCTCTGACTCCATGGGGGTATTGCAAAGCTCCACCTGCCTTGCTGTGGGTCCACCAGTTAAAAAAGCCGACTCAGATAAGTACAAAGGCAGCCATAACTCTTTGGGGAGTTCTGGCTATCAGAGCACTGGCTGCAAAACCGAGATTATCCCCATGCTTCCTCTCCTGAAAATAGCTGGGTTGTTTCTTTAGCTCTGCAGGTCCCACTGCTCTTGTTACACGTGTGCCTGTCATATTTAGTGGCATTGGATGGGTCGTTTACGCAGTTGTACTCAAGAGTAAATATTTGACACTTGATAACATTTGAAACAATGTTCACTTGAACATATCAAAGAGCTTGAAGTGATTATCTAGTTGTTGATACTATTAGTTGATAATGATCTTTTCCCAGTGGACAGTTTAAAACTGAAGAGAGAGTTTTTAGTGGGGTTTGGTTTAGGCTTAATTTGGCAGCGTTACTTTGATTTTTGAGAAGGCATCTTTGGTAGCAGCATGTTCTAATTGGGGAGTGGAGACCAGATTTTTTAGGACCAATGGATGTGGGTACATGTGAAGGAGAAATTTATTCTCCAGGACATGACTAGGAAAGCTTTAGTGCTTTCTGCCTCCCTGCATTTCCCAAGAGCTGACATTTGTTTATTTATATGGTGGTGTTACTTTTCATGGTGCAGAGTGGAGCAGATAAAATATTCTGTCTTTCTTTTATACATACATCTCTATGTATGTATATGTCCTCCAGCACTTCACTGTTTATATTATTTATGTTACATGTAAACAGTTAGCTTTGGAGGGCATTCCTCAGTGGCTTAAGCGCTGAATTGGTAATACCGAAGCTCTTGCACTGCAGTTTCAAATCTCCAGCAGCCAATTCATTCCTTCATTCTTCTGACACAGGCTGAGCACTGTTCGTTTTGCTCTGTGCATGTTGTGGACCCTGTTTCATGGACATTGTTATATTAGTCTGGTCATGTTCTTTCATTGCAGCCATCACACCAGTAGCTCTGAGTGTGTTAAGTGGTGTTTGTCATCAGTCACATGGGATATGTTCTACTTTCACCCACCTCAAATTTGTGCTGAATTTATTGTTATAAGGATTAGTTTAAAATGTTAATTAAATCTATTAATGTTTTCAGTACTCATAAGAGTGGCTGTGAAAGTGGCCTGCTCCCCAGATGTAGTCTGCAAGCAGGTGAAAGAGAGAAGGGAAAACAGTCCCATAAAGACAGTGTAGCCAAGGAAGAGGGTAATGGGCTAGTTCCCCTACTCCCCTAAATTCTCATCAATGGCAGAATAGATCTGGAAGAGTCAATGGGTTTGTCCCAGTTCCCTGAGGACCTCAGTGGAAGACAGGGCTGCCTGAGTGGGGCCAAGTTTGGCTTGTGAACCTCAGTTTAGGCAGTTATGTTGTGCGGAGATCCTTTAATGTTCATGGAAGCCCTGACTTTGTTTCCTAATAACTTTTTTTATGATCCGCGCTGTACTTGCTGAGGTTTGGCCTCCCCTGTGCTAACATTAATGATCCTCAACTATTTTAAAAGGGAGGATTGTGCTCTGGTATCTTTGGCCCAAGTTTAGACTTTCCCCATCTCCCAAGCTCTTTGTTTGCTAGGTGGCTGGCAGGGTTGCCTGAAGGAATAGATGTGTTTTCCGGTTCTGGACATAGGTGACTTTTGGAAGTGCTCTGAAGGAAGCAGTATAAGGTGAGCAGCTATGGGGTAAAATGACATTATGGAGTGGTGAGCAGAAGTGGGTTCTGCAAAGCTGGGGTGGGATCTTTTGACTAACAAAGTTTGGTGCCAGAGCAATGAAATGTTCTGTTTGTGAGGTGAAGGACCACTGTCTGCCCCTTATGCTTCTGCTGGAGCAAAGCTGGGTTCTGATAAATTCAGTGTACGTAACCAAGTCAGGTAAAATGAGTAACTTACATTGCCTGTGGGGGTACAAAACTTTGCGCTGCTATCATGGGCCCTCTGGCCTGCTGGGTGCCATTTGGTTAGGGTAGACATGGGCACCATTTAAAATCTTTGCTGCCCTTGACCGTGAGACATTTTCTGAGCCAAACTCAAGAAGACCCTGGAAGCTGCATAAAAGCTATTCCTAATGAAAAGTCCAGCAAGTTAATTTGTAAATGTATGCCCGCATAGGAGCCTTTTCAGTCCTAGCTCTCCAATCAAGTCACTTGCCTCCTTTGAAGCCTTTCAAGTTTTGAATATATTTGATGAAAGTCTCCTGCATTCTGAAACTGTTTAACACTGTTTCCACCACCAAAGTTTCTGTAGGTAACAACCAGATCAACAGTTTGTCTGACAGGACTTGACATACTCTCCAAGGCTAACCCATGGGCTCCTTAACTTCCGTGACTATTACAGCGGGTCCTCTGATAGAGCCCTTGCACCCCCTCCAGTACTCAGATTGAGTTCCTGATTTGTAGCACCACAACA